GATTCCTGTATAACTAATTGGCTAACCAGTTGCCCCAAGGGGAGTTGCGGCTGCTGCCTGTGAGCATTTAGGAGAAGGCACTGCCTTGGCTAGGAGTGCACATGGGAGTTAGGCAACAGCTCAGACCATCCCATTATTGGGGCATGCCCACCCACATAGGCTTTTCCCTTGTGCCTCCAGCCTGACAGGCAGTTGTCCTGCATGCTAGGGGCCAGGATCCCCCCTCTCTACCTCCCCCTACAACACAACACTCTGAACCAACCCGGAGTCCCTCTTCCACCAAAATTCCCTCCCAGATCTTGCAACTCTCACCCCTTCCTGCTCCCAAATCCTTCGGTCCCAGCCCAGAACCCGAACCCCCTGACCTACCCCAGTAAAAGTGAGTGAGGGTGGAGAACAGCAAGTGATGGAGAGGGAAATGGAGTGGGAAAGGCCTCAGAGAAGGGGTGGTGCAGATCCTGGATTGCCCTGGCATTTAAAAAGTACTCTTGGGCATAAAAAAGTTAGAGACCACTGGTTTAGTTAATTTCGGACTAAATATGCTGGACCCATATTTCTGAATTTTACAGGGTTACCAAGTAGGTGAAAACACACATAAAAGAAGCAGAAATAATGCATTATATAATGTTCTTTGTTCATATGAAAACTGCAAGAACTGTGTGCATATAAATTATGGCAGTGGTTCCCAAACTTTTTTATACCACGGACCGGCAAACCCATTCATGAACTTTTGGTGGACTGGTAACAATATTTGCATATTAATTATGCAAATAATGAATATTCAACTATGCAATGAAAATTTTACTGGTCTACCAAGTTTGTGAATGGGTTTGCTGGGTCTACAGTATAAAAAGCTCCAGCTTCCAGAGCCCCGCAATGCCAGCCCTAACCCATAGAGCTCCCCACCCTTCCACTATCCCCCAGTGCCAGCCACTGACCTCAGAGTCCCCTGCAACCAACATCAGTCTCCTGCCCTCAAAGCCCCCCAGTGCCAGCTCTCTATCCCAAACACCTCAGTGCCAACCCCCTGACTGTTAAGAGCCCCACACCATCAGACTCCCCAGTGCCAGTCCACTGTTTCCAGAGCTCAACTACACCCAACCACCCCAGAGCCGCCCCCAGACCGAGCCCCTAGTCCCCAATATTAGCTCCGTCTCCAGTGCCAGCCCTGCCTCCATAGTCCCCTCACTATTAGCTCTGCCCCTAAAGCCCTCCCAGTGCCGACACCCCACCCTGGATGCCCCAATGCCCCCCCAGTGTCAGCCCCCCACCACTTAGAGCTCCCCAGTACTAGTCCTGCCCCACCTCCAGAGCTCCCCAGTGCCAGCCCCCTACTTCTTAGGCCCCCCCCCACACTCTGAGTCCTCAAGCACTAGCCTTGTCCCCAGAGCTCCCAGTGCCTACCCCGCCCCTCACCTAGGTCTGCACTGCCTTCCAGCCACCAGCTGAGCTCTGCTGCCTAGGGGCAGCAGCTCTAACACTGTTGTGCTGGGGTCTGTGCAGCCCTCCTGCCGTGCAGCAAACTGCTCTTCTGCAGCCAGGAGGAGACCCCATCCCTGACTGGTGCTGGTTGGCTGAGAGGTAGGGCAGGACATGCCAGGGCAGATTCTGAATTCTCTTTATAAATGATATGCCTGTGAAGCAGATATAGTTACCATAGGCCAAAGAAATAGTAAGTCCGAACAGTTCATTTAAATAAAACAGAAAATTCCTCACCTTCCTGAATCCGACTCAAGAGGATCATCAGTAACTGAATCCGCATTGAAATCCAAAGGTTCTGCATCTTGAAGGAGTTCTATTCTATCCCTTTCAGTCCTGCCATTTGATCTGGTATACTTAGAAACTGCTGAATATTTGTTAAAAATGATGAATCAGTAAATATCATTATACACCCTAAAATCTTATGTCTTCTAAATCTCTGTATCTAAGATCAAACAAATATAATACGCATATTACTTATAATTATGCTTACTTTTTGAATGACTTACAACAAGAGTCAATATTTGGCTAATCCAAGTTGGATGCTCAGATTTCCAACTAGTTCTCCACTCATTCTGCATGTACAGTTTGCAATTTTTCAAAAGGGACCACACTTTACCAAGTCTGTACCCAATTAACCGGAAAACTCCAAGACACTTTTCAATCAGACTTATTTTGATAGCTTAAAATTATGAGCTTTTGTACTGGACAGAGATATTCCTCCCGGATTAAGATTCAGAAGTGGTTAGAGAAACAGTTCCTAACCTTTTCCAGATGGGGACCCATTTTGACAATTCAGGAAGACTTGGTGACCCAGGGCAATTCAAAAAAATGTGTGAATGGCTCCTTAAGAGCCACCTGGGGAGATACCTGGTGACCCTTTTGAAATGTAATGGCAACCCATATTTGGGTCCCGACCTTTAGGTTGGGAAACCCTGGGTTAGAGTAAGACAACGCTGGTTGAAATTATACTTAGAACAAATACCAAACCAATCCCAAACAAAACATTTGGGTAAAGACTATCCCAGGAAAAAAAAAATCAACCCAAAAGCCAAAGTTTCAAAAAGTGTTGAATAACTGGGGACAAGTGTTAAAATGTCATCTCTTATATCATCTTAACAATACCAGTTCGTGCTGCTGTTATAATATTGAAGTACTGCATATTATTTGGGTATCTTTACAATAATTTAAATTAATCATTCTGAATACTAGATTTCCAGGGGGGGAAATATGATAACCTATCACATTTCTGCCTCAAAATTTGTATCTATCAAGTTATATGTACGATTACTATAATTGAGTGTGATTATATACAAAAAAATTTCTCTCTACTCATTTTTACTTTATTAATTTAATAGCACTTTGTGAATAGTCAGTTACACTGTATTGATGGTTAGCTGTATTGTCTGTTTAATTTATCAGCACACTATTATTTACGTTCAGCTAAGAGAAGCTCATGGGTAAACATGCAAGAATTCAGAAATATGTACAAATGAAAAAAAAAATGGGTAAAACTCTCCAGTAAGCATAAGAATTGCCTGAACATTGAAAATTTGACCAATATTTTACCATTTTCCCTTCAAGAAATGCATAATCATCTTCAAAATGATTTAATACATGGTAGCTTCACACATTATAAAAATGTAAACCATGAGTTTGCACAATACGTTATATACGCAGTACACTGAATTAATATTCTGTAGTAGGGATTTAAAGAGTAGTTGATTAGTCAACTACTTGCATTTCCCTCCCCTACTTGCTGCCTCTATATAAGAGGCAGTGGGGAAGGCATGAGCAGGAGCTGGTGCAGGAGGAAGCTGGACTTAGAAGCTGGTTTTTCCCCCAGCACCATCTGCACAGTGCCACTTGTTTCCTCTCACCTGGACTGCTACCTCTATCAGAAAACAGGAGCTGCTGTGGAGAAGCAGCCTGTCCACAGGGGCTCCCCACAGATAGGGGCTGCTGCCGTGAAGCAGCCCTTATTCACGACCAGCTACCACAAACAGAGGCTGCTCCACAGCAGCCCTTGTCCACGGTGGGTCCCAGCTCCCTGCTGGGATCCCCTGTGGACAGGGGCTGCAATACCTGGTGTGAGCTGGGACTAAGTAAGCCCAGCTCAGTCCCAGCTCATGTCAGGTCCAGGAACTACCCACACTGCAGCTCTCCAGTTTAAATGTAGTAGGAGTTGGAATGCCTGTAAGCCCGCCTCTTACTACATTTAAACTGCAGAGATGCAGTGAGGGTAGCTCTTTCTGAGCGCCTTCCATTATCGACTAATCGTGTAGTTGATACAGTTTGTATCGACTACACGATTACTCAGTTACCCATACTTATTCTGTAGGACTAAATTACTGTGACAGTTTACATTTGAAATAATATCTGGGCAACCAGAAGGGTAAAGATTTTAAACTCTTTGATTGTAACCTGTTAAATCAAACAACTCTGCATTGATCACAGCAGTGCTGATGTAGCCATAAGTGTAAACAGACATTTAGTTGTCAGTCCCAAAGCTGAGAATAGCTGTTCCAATCATAAGTCAAATCAGAGAGTCCTATAACTGACTAGGAAACAGTGACCTCACTCAGAACCTCCCCCATGGAGTGGAAAGAGGATATGTTAAAGATTGCAAGCTCCATGGAGACCTAGTGTCCCTCCTGGAGCAAGCAGTATGGCGTCATGCCACTAAAAGGGGTACACTCAGAATGCTGAGATAAGCAGAATACAAATTATTGCTACTTTTATAATTGTGCTAGTGAAAGTTTTAAGGAAGTATAGAAAAAAGTGTATTACTTACGTCTGCTTGTACTGGTCTCTGAAAAACTAGATTCTTTTTGGTCTGTGTGAACATTTCTATTTCTAGTGGAATCTTCTCGGCTGTTTCCATAACGCTCTTTCCATTCCTGACCCCCAAACCCCACCAAAACAAAAAACAAAAGAAAAAAAAATTACACCTCATCAGCTATATGAACAAAATTGCTTACTCAGATCATATCTGGAATCCTCTGAAATTCTAGATCCATTATCTTGGGATATTCACTCTCACACTATAGACTGGAGGATCAGTAACTTTATACATGAGATGTTATTTAGTACACTCTGTCAGATTGTGTGTCTGGGCCTTCTTCAATTGAAAACATTTTAATCAATGTATGTCCTTTCAATCTAAAATATATTTTACTAGCAAGTGCACCCCCATTAGGTTTTAAAAAGTAAGTATCATAGTATATGTTAATCATGTTTTAAATCTTCTCAAACAAAATATGCTCAATCTCTATTGTCTATGCATTAGAGATGAGATGTTACTTTTGGGTTCCTTCCTCCACCTGTTGGTAGAATAATACAATAGCACTGATCTGGGACAGCATAAGGTAAATCTACGGAACGGGTGCCACTATGTTGACACCCAGTGACATGATGCTTATGGTAAAAGTTTGGATTGCTTTAATATATTTATATTAGAGTTTATATAAATCTGTTTAAATTTATATTAAAATAGCATTGGATACTATTTTATTACATTCAATATGACCCAAATTCAGCTCAGTGGTTACATATTCTGAACTGGTCTAACTTGGAATAATTCCACTGAAGACAATTTACAACAGAGCAAGATACTCAGTTCTAGGCTGCAGAAGAATAAAAACCACACAATCTTTCTGAACCAGTAATCGAAAATGGTCTAGAAATATGGTCTAGAAATAAAAATATTTTATGTCCATTTAAGAACAGTAACAATGTAACAAGTACATACATTTTCTTCATGTGAAATTAAGCACACAGTTTTTCAATAAAACAGATGATATTTTGATTTATTTTGAATACCTGTACTACAAAGTTACATAGCATTTGAGATGGAAAAGCATGCCAGGGGGTTAATTCTAGTATTACCTTGCTTTCCTGTAGACTACAATAATGAATTGACTGGACTGGGATAGACACATTTTAACAGATTTTTTTTTTTAAATTATGACATTATATGCCAAATTCCTCACCAGTAGCATAATGGAATGAAAACCAAGGTCCTAATAGAAAATCGTAATACATACCAACATATAGTAGTACATAGAAAATTATTATAATCTTTCTAGAATATTGTCATACCCTCCTTCTATTTTCACCTTCTTCCTGCCTTTGCCGTTTTCTTTTCTCTAGGAAAGGAACAATATTTTTATTTAAGTACAGAGTAATATAAACCATCAGTCATTACACAACAGTTAAAACTGCAAGGATTGGAATAAAATTGTATCAATACTCTTAAAAGGTTTATATTTAATCATAACCAATACATTTTTTAACAAAGAAAGTGCTCATTTGAGGAAAATAACTAAAATCTTATATTAACTACTTGACTATTTTTGATACACTTGAATGATGCTTTAAATGAACTTCCCCAATATTTAATAATATGGCACCAATTTGCATGTTAGCAGATGGCACAGAGAGAGGAAAAGTAAGTAAATATAAAATTATGATGATGTGCTAGGCAATAGACAACCTGAGGACTGGGTTCTGCATGTGGCTCATGTAAGTTTGTATCTCATGATACATTTTGGTCACTGTTGCCCATGTGCAGGGTTGCCAGATTCTGCTGGTTTCTGCCTGCATAGTAGTTTTGTTATCAGTTTTACTAAAGTGAACACACATGTAAAAAAAGAGCAAGTGAAGTGAGGTGCATGCTGATTGCATACAACATGGACTATGCTTCCACTGCATCAATCAAAGCGCTACTATGGTTCAATCACCATACTCTGTACATTCGAGGTACGAAAGCAGAGTTAGCAAAACTATCCTTTCGTAGGAAAACATCTTGGTTACGACAATCTTGCGGCGTGCTAAGATGAAGGAGGGCCACTCATGTGACCCACTCACTAGGTTTGGTTGCTCATCGCTGTGCTAATGGAAAGATCTCTGTCAAAGAGAAACTAAAATGTTAACTAAAATATGCAAGGGTTTTCTTGTTTGCAGGTCTTGCAGTTCTAAAAATGAACGAATGGGAATACAACAATATTCAGCTCTCTAAACTTAATGACCGGATGTTAAGAGCCCTTTAAAAATAAATTCTCTGCAAAATACATGGTGCCATAATTGTTTGCTTTACAGTGGCAGTGCATCCACCTTTCCAATAAAAATGGAGTACAGGTAATGTCAGTTTATGCTTTCTGACTGATGTTCAGTGTCTTTATGTAACTTATTAAAAACTGATTACACATTATTATAACACCTTCCAACCGAGGATTGCAGCTTCATAAATCTCAAAGAATCACAATGGCCCTGGAATACCCCAAAGGAATCACAGATTACCCTCTTACCAGTGTTCCCTCCAAGATTTTCCATCCGTGAGCGAAGTGAGTTTTGTTTTGTGCACCAATATTGAGGTCATGTGTGCTTGTTTGGATGTGGGCCACCATGGCTATATTATTTATAATAATAAGTAAAATAATAATAATTATATATATAAAATAAAACAGCTCTTTCCCAGTCAGAAAGAATAAAAAGAACTATTAAGTTAGAACTTTTACTCTATCATCCTTATTATTATGGCTGACCCTATGTGCCAATTTATTGTAGCATGCCATCAGTACAGATAAGGTAAAAAGACATCACAGGTCATGATTTCTAGACCTTTAATAATTTCTTATGCTCTTCTATGGACTCCTCCAATTTTTCCACATCTTTCCTGGAATATGATACCCAGAAATGGACAAAATACTGCAAATGAAGCCTAATCAGTGTGGAGTAGAATGTGTAAGAATTACTTCTTGTCTGTCGCTCATGACACGCGTGTTAATACATCCCAGAAGGATATTTGCTTTTTTTTTTGGAAATGGTGTTACACTGTTGACTCTTCTTTAGCTTGTGATCCACTATGATTCCCAGATCCCTTTCTACAGTACTCCTTCCTAAACAGTCATTTCTCATTTGTACGTGTGTAACTCATTGTTTCTTCCTAAGTGAGTGCTTTGCATTTATCTAAACTGCTCAAGATAGTTAAGACTAAAGCAGACTGTGAAGAGCTTCAAAAAGATCTCACCAAACTAAGTGATTGGGCAACAAAATGACAAATGAAATTTAATGCTGATAAATGTAAAGTCATGCACATTGGAAAAAATAATCCCAACTATATATACAATATGATGGGGACTAATTTGGCTACAACTACTCAAGAGAAAGATCTTGGCATCATTGTGGATAGTTCTCTGAAAACATCTACTCAGTGTGTAGCAGCAGTCAAAAGAGCAAATAGAATGTTAGGAGTCATTAAAAAAGGGATAGAGAATAAGACAGAAAATATTTTATTGCCTCTATATAAACCATGGTACGCCCACATCTTGAATACTGCATGCAGATATGGTCGACTCATCTCAAAAAAGACATAGTGGCATTGAAAAAGGTTCAGAAAAGGGCAACAAAAATGATTGAGGGTTTGGAACAGATCCCATATGAAGAGAGATTAAAAAGACTGGGACTTTTCAGCTTAGAAAAGAGGAAACTAAGGGGGATATGATAGAGGTCTATATAATCAAGACTGGTGTGGAAAAAGTGAATAAGGAAAAATTATTTACTTGTTCCCTGTACCCATAATATAAGAACTAGGGGTTACCAAATGAAATTAATAGGTAGCAGGTTAAAAAAAAAAAAAAAAAAAAGAGAGAAGTTTTTCTTCATACACTGCATCGTCAACCTGTGGAACTCCTTGACAGAGGAAGACTAGGACTTTAACAGGGTTCAAACATGAGCTAGATAAATTCATGGAGGTTAGGTCCATCAATGACTATTAGCCAAGATGGATAGGCATGGTCCTAGCCTCTGTTTGTCTGGAAATGGATGACAGGAGAGGGAACACGTGATGATTACATGTTGTGTTCACTCTCTCTGGAGTATCTGGCATCGACCACTGTTGACAGACAGGATACTGGGCTAGATGGACTTATGGTCCGATCCATTATGGCCGTTCTTATGTTCAAAGTGCTGCAAAGCCTATTGTGTTCCTCTCACTCCTGGCTGCCCAAGGGTGGGCCAGAGGAACGCAGCAGGTTCTGCAGCACTTTGACCTCCCTCCCTAGTCACAAAAAAATGTGAGGGAAAAAATATGCAGTGACTGGAAAAGGCAGCTGCAACTCCTCCATCCCCGAGTCCGATCCATTATGGCCGTTCTTATGTTCAAAGTGCTGCAAAGCCTATTGTGTTCCTCTCACTCCTGGCTGCCCAAGGGTGGGCCAGAGGAACGCAGCAGGTTCTGCAGCACTTTGACCTCCCTCCCTAGTCACAAAAAAATGTGAGGGAAAAAATATGCAGTGACTGGAAAAGGCAGCTGCAACTCCTCCATCCCCGAA